TATATATTTAAATGTTTGGAATTGAAGGGAGAATTTGTTTTAATTATTTAAAAAAATAATCAATAAAGTTTTTAAATATTTTCATTAGTTTAGAGAATATCTTTGCTTTATATCGTACCTTTCTTGCTTATTTTCATTTTTTTTTTTAGCTTTTTCGCGTTCCCTATACGCTTTTTGATACTCTGCATAATCTCTATGAAGTTTCGTAGTTTTAATTATATGAAAATAAACGTGGCTACTCACGAGTAAAATGTATCTATAATGTGAGTATATACTATGCATTGGCGGGGTGGAGTGGTAATAGAGAGAGAAGGGATGAGAGAACGAAAAGAAAGAGGGAGAAAGAGAAAGGTATTATCCACTACTCGCTTGTGTATACGACTGTCGCGCCTGCGCACGTCTCATTTAACGGTTTTATTCCACAGACTTTTTTCCACGGACTTTTTCTTACGGTTTTACTATCACATTTGTTTCAGTTCTGTCGCGCAGCAAAATCCCTATCTCCTCCAAGCCTGCCGTAAGGAACTTCGTTCCAATAATTTTTGCAATCTCATCGTGACGTACGATGACGTCACTGTCACGTGAGCTACCTGATAAAAGGTCAATTTTTCCATCCTCTGTGTTTAGTTTTGATTCCGGTCTGGTAGCAGCAACACTGGAGCTCCGTTTTGGGTAGCACGTGTTCGCGAATTTCTAATTTATTATTAATAAATATTAGCGAAAATGTTTTGTGTTAAGTGCTGTGCACACGAAGGATAGTGGATATTTTTCCAAAAATGCCCGATTTTTTTTTAAATTTGTTGTTAATAAGATGCATTCAGGACTGATAAAGTACGGCTTTAGAATACTGCGTTCATAATTCACAAAATACCGTATGCATCATTTTTAAAGTACGGCGTCCAAATTTACAAAATACGGTGTCCTTCACGCATGCTATCAAACCCTAGTCCTCTCTTTTAATGGCAAGACGCACTCCAGACCTCCTCGCATTGTTTGGTTCTTGCTGGGCAACAGCAACGAGCGAGCAGAGTCATCGCTCTTTGTTGGCAAACGTGGAGAAATTTGTATATTGTAACTTTTGTAATTGAAGCATTTTGTACTGTATATTTTATGTGTTACTAACTTAACTTGGGTCTTGCCAATTTAGCTCCTGTGGTGCAAATGCTTTGTTTTCACGGTGCACTTGCTTGGGTATTAATTTTGCAACAGTGCATTCTTTGGTTCCGAGACTGAATTCTCCATGTCGTCAGACGCTTTGGCCTGGGGGGGGGGGGGTTCTGTTGGCCCTTAGACGCTGGGTTGCATCGCTCTTTGAGAATCAGATAAGACGACCTTGGATTTATGCGGCTGCGTTCTCCTTTGGGCGTGTGAGCGCTGCGACCATTAGATTTCGTTCCGAGTTCCATTGGTTTTCATTTTGCAACATTCTCAATTTTTGGTGCAATTTCTTCCGGTGGTGTATTGGGTACTAACTTTGCATTTGTATTGTATCTGAATTGTATCTGTATCTGTAGTGTATTCTGTATTGTAATTAGATTGTAGGTACTTGTATTGTATTTCTGTTGTATTGTACTGTATAACGTTCTATCCCTCATTAACAAATCCTAGCCCTCTCCTTTCCCAGCGAGATCTGCTCCAAACCTTCTCGTGGTTCTTGCTGAGCATCAACTATCGAAGACAGAAAATTCAAATTCAAAACCAGCAAAGTTTCAAAAAAATAATGAAACTCGCTATATAAGAATAATAATGAAGTAGGTACTTCGTACTTCGAATATGAGTATCTACTCAGTTTTATTCATACCATCCAATGTCTCGCTTCAATGTTTGACTATTATGTTGATTATGAGCACAACGCTGATCAACTTCCGTATCCGAATTACCCATGAAATAAATCATTGCGGTTTGCACCTGAGGTACTACGTCGCACATTTGATTGACTTCGTGAACCTATTCAGCTTGTCGTCTTCTCGGCATTGTAATGAACTTCATAAATCGACACAGAATTATTTTCACAGTCAATCAAATCTGTAAATTTTGTCTTGAGAATTTTAAAATATTGAAAACTACAAATTAAATCCTCGAATAACGGTAAAGGTTGAGGTTTTGTCGAAACCAACAAAGTGAATATATATAGGTAAATAGAATGGCAGATCAAAATTAATAAGAAACTTTCGCAATGTGTAACTAAATTCACTTTAACCAAGACTTTTCTTAAAATAAACGACTTTTTTTTTACGAAAAAACAAAGAACGATTTGAAATGCAATATACTTTTCACAATCGCACGGAAAAAATAATAGTTTTGTATGACACGTCAGTTAGACGACGGGTCCGTCAGGAACGCCAACTATTGAAATTAATTCGAAGTGGCGATTCCCATACAAAATTTTTAGAATTTTTTGATTTCTTAGCTGTTTTATTTTTTGTAAATTTTCTTATATACAAACCTTGTCCTAACAATAAGGAACACATAAAAAAAAGAATCATCCAATTTGGCGCAGTCGTTCTGAAGTTAACCGCGTACATACATTTCGGCGATAGACATAAATTTTCCCCAGCCATTATTTGTTATACGTTACTTTCAAGTTTTCAATATTTTGATTCTTGAATCGGTTCACAATATTGTATCGTTTATTGAATATTAATGTTTAGGAATAAAGTGTTTACGTACGTCGTCTTTTATTTTCATCTTTATTTTTCATCTAAATAAAAAGAGATAATTTTGCCCTACATACTGGCTTTTATTATAAATAATCCTTACCCTCTTTTTTACCCTACCCTTGTGGGATTTTTGAGTGTCTTTTACCGCATGTTAATTTCTCAACAAATAAAGGAGTTTTTCACGCCAAGACAAAGTTGGAGATATTCATGTTTATCATAATTATGGATTTAAAGTATTTTTATACGAAGAAAATAACAAAGTTATAAAGATGGTCGTAGTGAATATTTTAAAAAGAACGTAAGTAAAAAAAAATGGATGGAATAGTCCGAAAATAAAAAGGAAAATGGAATAAAATCGACTTATAAAATATGAATGTATTATGAAGAGTAATGTATTTTACGGTCAAGAAGATTCCACCCCTCAATAAAGATTATAGAAGTGCAGGTAGTCAAAAAAATGTCTGAATAATTTGTTTTCATAACTTCCCTAGTGAACTGGTTGTTCATTCTACATAATTGTTATTTTTTAAGTTAGTATTTGTATCATAGGAATGTATACATATTTTACTTTCAGGTAGAGACGTCATTTTACTGCTTCAGTATGATAGCATGAATCTGATCCTGCTATATTTTATCGTTTCATAAATATTTTTGATAAATAAATTTGATAGAGACTTTATGGGTGTAATTGGCCTGCCAATAAAAATCTTATAACAACAAGTTATATGAAAAATAAAACGTGTGATTGGTACAGCAGTAAAATCTGAAAGAAAATCAAATTTCATTGGTTCTTAAATCCGGGACGGAAGTCGTAAAATTTAAATATTATACAAGAAGAAGGAGTTCGACTTGGTCGAATATAATGCAATTTAGAATTCCTTATTGAGTCCAGTAGTCAGTTCGCGATCAGCAACATGTCCCACGAGAACTGGCGATTTGTCCAAGATTTAGGTCGTCGGAAAGCGACCCAAACCTTGGCAAATCTCATATAGCGTTTCCTTACCGTAAAATAATTTAAAACCTATCATCCGAATTTATTTATTTTTAATCGGGTTTGGGGTTGCGGGAGGGCAGGCCGCGAGAGACGTTTGTATGTATATGGTCACATTTAGGACGAAGTTTAAAATAAAACTGAGCCGACTGCTTAATTCAAACAACAAAGTTTGGCAAAGGGTTTTTTCTCGTCCATAAATTAGTATTTTGCGGCTTGTGTTTGTCTTGCCACTGTTGGTACAACCTTTAAAAAGAGAAAGATGATCGTTGGGTACGAGAGCAGAAGAGAATTTCTCATATATTTCAAAGTAAGTTCAACGGAACGATTGTATAATCTTAAATGCATTGTCAAAAGTATTGCAATTAATTACGCTGAATGGGCAACTCTCATCTTTTTGTCTGAGCAATCCCTAGTAGCAGATGAACAATAACTTACGAGGTCACAGTTGCTAATTAAGAAATACATGTTTGAAACTTATAATTTGTGAGGATTGTTCCAGTCTTAACAGCGGTTTTCCTGAACGTTAACAATCCCATTACGTTTATTCTCTCTGCCTTCATTTATAATTTACCCTTAGAAGTGTAATTAAATCTTTCGAATCGCCGTTACGAAGAATCGTGAAATGCTGTCCATAAATGTTACATATCAGCATTCCGCCTTCGAACTTTCAACGTTGCATGCGGAGCTCAGGAACACGCGTTGGTTGAATAAACGTTCATTAAACGAAAGCTTGGTTTATTTCTAGTAACGTTTAAAGCATACACGTTTATGGTAGGTCATTCTATGAAGAAACTTTTATATTTTCTTATCTTCTAAAATATAGGTACTTTAATATTGTTTGATTGTCTTTGTGACAAACTAAAATGAAACATTTTTAAACATCTAAGTAAATACGTATAGTTTAGGTTTATTTTTTTGAATTTATGTCTGGAGACAGACTTAAATTATTTATACCAAAAGGAAAAATATTGTGTAAGCTTCTAACATACAACGCGTTGGCAGCACATCATATCTGTTGCTCAAAGTGAAAATCGTCAATAGAACTTGAGCACTATTGCTATTGTGTTATTTCGACGTGAAAATATTCTACGGATGTTATAAAGTCGACATTGACCACAGAAGTTCGTTATTAAGTATATCTAAATATATTGGAGATCTGGTTTCTTCGATATATTTTATTATTATTGCTGCGGTATCGCAAGTAAAAATTTATCCAAAGTAGAAATATATTTGCTAATTCGTACTTGAAAATGCAATGGCGAACTAAATTAAACGTTTATTCAACCAGGCCATGCACGAGAGATAATCGATCAAGCTCGATCGATACTGTCGTTTGTTTTCCCTACCTACAACGTGCAGATATCCGAACTGTGTTTTCGCTGTAACTGTATTGATTTGGCACATATATCGTCCCTTATCTTCTTCCTGCACATTACTAATGTGTAAAAACCATGTCCTATGCTTATCGTGCGTAACGCTAATCCGGGGATTTCTTGTGATCACGTGGTTGTGAACTGTTAAAATCGCTGATTGCTCAAAGTGCATCCACGCCACCTGAAAACAACAATCGATTTAGGACTATACTCAGAATAAACAATCCATAAAAACTCAGATACATGGTTTTATTGCACAACAATAGTGGTTTTAATCTTGACTTTACGGTGGACTTTATTACCACTGTTAGCTTTGATACACAAAAACATAAATGGTTACTATTCTCCCTTAATTGTTCCGGTTGACATTTTTGTATTACCTGCGTTACATGATTTTAAAAGTGGATAAAGCTGATTTTTATCCTTAAAGTGGTAAAAGTGAAATAAAAATGGATTTGTCGGTTTGTATTCGGCGTACGTGACCCATACGAGGCACAATAGTAATGAAACGAAGATGATTTTGAGACAGCGCTAACTATAAATATGATCGACGATATTCGTCCTGTATACTAAATCTATCCCAAAGGTCCAATTTGCTACACTGTGTTCCTCTTGACATGCTCTTCTACAGTTTGTTCAACAGCCAGTGACGATTTATTTAAACGGCCAGTTTTGCGCATGCCACAGCAAATGGACGTTGTTTCGGACCTTTTATTTTATCACTTTCACTGCTGCTTTTGATACACCTCACGTTCACCTGGTCTATACAACAAGCTTTTTTTTAATTACACTGCTCAACAATCAAAAATCATCAAGAAAAATAACACAACAAATTTACTAAGTTCGACGTGTTGATTCTAAATCTGCAATCAATTTTTTACTGGCACGTCACATTATCTAGGTGGCAGGTATATGTTCATGATTTAGAAATATTCGAATCCACACATTTTTGGTAAAAATATGATTAATGACTGATTAATTAGCGAAGATGGTAATGATTTATCACATTTCATGTAAATCCCTTATTTCGTGTGATTTGCCGATTATAAACATTTCGAACAATTAAAAAAGCGGGCTAAATTTATTTTTCCACATAATCACGTGCGTTTAATAGAACGATCTTGAAAGCATAAAATGCTACAGAATAGTTTGAACAGAATATTTGTGTGGCCATATTACTGTGTCTTCAAGAAAAAGTCATTTTTCCTTCGCCGTGAGACACTTTGGTCGAGATACCAAAGTTGGTTAGAAGTTAGGATGGTGGGAAATTCTTGGGGCTCAAACCCAAATTAGAACCGATAGAATTAGTGGTGGAAGATTTATAAGAGTATTCGCGAAACGGAATCTGTGTTACGTTCATACGCATAGTAATGACAGTTAAATCTATATTTCGAGCCCTTCAAGGTATTGTAGAATTTGAAAAGTACATAGTACAAAGAATGTTTACATACACAACGAGCGAGTAAAATACAATTTGTACAGTTTCTGTATATGTGGTTTTATTTCAAGTTGTTCAGCTTTTGACATAGAGGAACCACATACCCGCAAAATGTGGTGCGATGATTTACACACTTTCAAGTTGTAACGATGATCTTTAATTAGCGTTAAAATAGACCCTATGCTACAACGTTTTCTACTGAAGAACAACCTGTGGTAGCAACTACCTTTTATGTAATAGTAGCACATGGTAATAAATTACGTTTTATGGTGCTTGGTGTATTTTGTATTGCATATCAGAAATTATAAACTGCAAGAAAGTTATTATAATTGTGCTATGTTTACTATGGGTTAGCTCCTACTTTGTATGACTATTTTCATTGTAAACCAGTGCCTGCCAATTAAACTTTTTTTAAGTCACGTGATCATATATGTACTTAACCTGTTTTTCTTAATTTTCTAAGGATGGTCGTTTTGTTGAGTGTTTAGCTTCGAATTTTCTTGCAGTTTCATTGCTTATTTTTGAATACTAAAATGCCATTTTCGTCCGTTGGCGTTTGCTATCAGTGATTTTAACAAACAAATAATCTCCAAAACTACTAAAGTGATTATCTACTCTGAAATTTTAGGTTATTGTGTAAATGATAAAACATTAATCAAAATTTGTCTGTTAATATTCACAAAAATTTGATTTCGTCATCGCAAATTTGATTCCTTTGATATTTTCGTAATACATTCCTTTTGGACTAGTGGTTACAGACAATTTAGTAAAATGTGCCTATTCATCCACTCATAAAGTTGATGATGGAACGTCAAAAAATTAGTAAATACATATTTTTTAAAAAATATACTTTAAAATGCTATATAGTTATAAGTGTTTTGATGATATTATTTTTTGGGATTACTTACCCCTAAAAAAATAAATAAATGAGGTTTCTTTATTGATTGAGTCAAAAATTATTTATCTTATTTTCCTGATATTATGAGAACACACTGCATTAAAATTTATATTTGTTCCCAAAAAAATTTGGGACGTCGGAACAATGATGACAGAATTTTGTTTATTTACATGTCTGGTCTTGCTATGCGGTAATTAAACTTGTGGCGACAATAAACCAATCAATTTAATCTATGACTAAAGAAAACAATCAATATTAAAACAAGGAACAACTTTTATTTCACATATTTCTTTAAGTTTTTCAAACAGGTAATGAATTGCTAAGCGAAGTAGATTTCTTTGAGAGAAAATCTTTACGAAAAAATGTTGCTTCGACATGCACCGAGTATTGGTCAGTTTAGTTGGTTACCTTTCGGCAGCAATCTGTGAAATCGTAAACTTTCAACAGCTTCGTGTCATTAAGTGAAGAATATATTTCACATGTAGCTACCAGATACTAAATGCATCTGCGGTGAAAGTATTAAAAGATAAATAGAAACCAAAAAGAAACATCTGCGCAAAGTTTTGATCAGCAATAAAGTCGGTTTTCCTCGACTGGCAGCCCTAATGAATACGTGATTGCATTGAAATAAATTTAATCGATCGTTTAGAAACCGCATGAGTAGGTATTTAAAATAAATTTAGTGTATTTATCATTTTGGCAAGCGTTGATAAACCAGTCTACGCCCGAAATCACCGAATTATTTAGTTTGGTTAACAAATTAACGGAAGCAGAGATACAATTTTCTAACGAGACGCGAGGGACTTGAACGTTCACAATATGTCACACGGTGTAAAATTGTAATTTTCCGAGAATGTGGTGTGTTTTATTGTTCCAAGTGTAAGTGTCTGGAAAGTAATTGTTTGAATGGGTCTAATTTTGAGGTTTGTGCTGAAAACAGGCTCCTGATACAAAGCCGAGATGTGCGATAACATGACTGCCTACATTTTAATCATCCCCTTGATTGAGACGCATTCTTTATTTGCTTCGATTTATTTTCGAACGAGTATTTTCAACAGTTGTACGCTATAATATGAGATTTATTATGTGTAGCGCTCAACAGGTTAAAACCATTAATTTTGTAAAACATAACTGGAAAATATGGTACGGAGCGTTATTGTTTCGCATTTTAGCAATGATCCTAATTTTATTTTCACAGTTTGGGTGATTAGCGGGTGTTTTGTCGTTCCACGTCAATTAGTCTTTATGGTTCCGTCGATAGCGTTTTTATTATAATTCAATCATTTTCTCCCTTTGATTTAATGTTTTTACCACGCAACGGCGTCGTAAATATAAAACGAGCCAGAAGATGGATGTGACAACCGCAAATAACACAATTTATGAAAAGTAAATAAATAAAAAATAAATGTTAGACGTAAGTCGCGTAATATGTAACTTACCGCTGTCAGAAATCTACAAGTTATATAAATCTACGGAAGATTTTGCGATTCGACGTGGTGTAAAATGAATAAAATACTCGAGCGGCTTTAGAATCGGATGGCAAAGAGCAAAAGAGATAAAGAAATTTGAGACAAGAAATGTGGAAATTATTCATAGGCTTTATTCTAGTAGAGGTGCGGGTTTCCAAAGCACCATCAGAAGTTCTTTTATTTTTCCCTGTTACCATTTGTCACAGTACACAAGTCTTCATACAGAAAAATGAAAATAACGTATTGAAAGAGACACCGACCCACGCTTTTAATTACCGTCAATTAAAATTCTCGCAATAACGTGACTTGATTAGTTTCAGTGAACACGGCAGACGCATTTGCGAAAAAACTGTTTAAAAAAACCACACGAGAATTTAAATAAATGACGTCGTTTGATATATTTTTTTTTGTTACATGTTTATGTACAGTTAAACTATAATTGTATGACATATATGGTATAGATCTAATATGACCTTTCAGTAATGACATGTGTCAGGAAATACCGCTTAAAAGCGGATGGAACCTCCTGAACCAGCGCAGGAAAAATTTAGACCCACGCCCTCGAAATACCGAATAGGACATTTTTACAAATTATATCAATTTTGGACTGAGGCACCGTTAACACGGCCCTTTGGAAAATTCTCGATTTCTAGATGATCCCGTTCGTTCCGGCTTTAAGTATAAGTAAACATATGCCCCCGTACCACGCATATGGGTTTTCTAGTATGTAGGTGACTCATCATCGGTGACGGCGGCGGTCGAATAAAGAAAAGCCTGGAAGCGGTTCGTCGGAAGTCTACATTGTGGACTCCACAACAATCCCGAAAGCGGCCATCGCGATTTCTCCAAAAGAAACGTACGGCTGTTTAAACAGGGTCCACTCTCGGGAGTAGGCTAGTCTAGTCCCATCCAGTCGAGTCGATTAATGTGTATAAGTCAAGCTGAGTCAATAGTTGAGTTCTACTCACGCTGATTTAATCATCGTAACCCTATATAGTCAAAATCAATGTCATAATTTCAAAGAAGTTCCTTATGTAGATTCTAACACAAATTGTAAAATTGCAGTCTGTACATTTTATTTGTTTACTACACAAGGTTAAAGATAAAACTGTTGTCACGTTCGATTTACTTGACAAAACTGAAGAGACGACGAGTTGACGAAGTGTGGTTAGTGTTTTATCGTTCGCAGGATAACTTTAAATTATCCGTCCCATAAAATTGCTGACAGACAAACGGAAACAGGGGAGCGACATTTTCATATTCCACAAACTGTGAAATTGTGAGAAACCACGAAATTAGACATTCATGATGATTTAATGAGGGAAACAATAATGATTTATTACAAATAAAAATTTGGGAAAAGCGTCCACGGTGTG